GTGGGCTCCGCCATGCCTGCGGCGTTCCCGTGTGGTCCTAGGGGAGACCCCACCCTGCCTTCCTGGAGACTCTTGCTCTTCCTCGGACAGGTACCCAGAAGGGCTGGGCTGGGTGGCCGGCAGGTGACGGGGTGCAGTGAAGAGTCTAGGATTCTCTCAGGCAGGGAGAATTTGAATGTCACAAGCTGCTTGCTCTCCCAGAGTCCAGCCTCCTGGTCTGGGACCTTGTGGGAGAATAACGCCCGCCTCTCAGGGCTTTGTGAGCCAGGAGGTGCTGTGCCTGTCAGACCTGGGCTGTGAGGGCGGCTGGGCTGGACCGTTTTCCTCCCCAAGCCACAGGGGCCAGGCTGGGGCTTGGCAGGCACAGACTAGCCCCTGTGCCCTACCTCCGCCCCCTAGTCTCATCTTCGGACTCATCACCTGCCTGACCGGGGTCCTGGGTGTGGGCCTGGGCGTGGAGATCAGCCGCCACCTTCGCCGCTCCAACCCCCGGGCTGACCCGCTGGTCTGTGCTGCTGGCCTGCTGGGCTCTGCCCCATTCCTCTTCCTGTCCCTCGCCTGCGCCCGTGGCAGCATCGTGGCCACCTACGTGAGTAGTCAGCAGACATCATGGTGGTGTTCTGGGTCCAGGGTGGAGGGAGAGTGCACTGGGCCAGCACTGGGATCGGCCCGCATTATGGTTCAGGGCCAACTCGAGGTAGATTGCCTGGTTTTGAATCCTAGTCTGTCCCTTCCCTGCTGTGGACAAGCTGCTTAACCTCTCTGTGCTGTTTTGTCACCTGTAACATGGAAAATAGTAGAACCTGTATCCGAGAAGCGTGGTGAAGGTTAAGTGGTGACCAGGTGAGCCTGGAACTAGCGAACCCTCGTACGTTTGCTCTTGCTGCGATGAGGACCCTCTCCCCTCCCACCCTCCAGATTTTCATCTTTGTTGGAGAGACCCTCCTGTCCATGAACTGGGCCATTGTGGCTGACATTCTGCTGGTAAGCAGCTGCACAGTGCCACGGTGCCAGGGTCAGCCAAAGGGTGATGGGAGCAGGGACTGGGGAGGGAGGCTTCGCTTGCTCTGAATCGTGGCCTTTACCCCTTCTTCAAAACCCAGCCCCAGAGGGGCTTAGAGTCTGGCCTGCCCTCTGACCTTGGCCTCAGCCACTCCTCTGACCATGATCTGGGCTGAACCTTAGCCCTGTCCTGGCCTTCTGCCTCCTGCCCCCGGAGGACCCCCACTGAGCTCCCCACCCCCACCCCCCAGTACGTGGTGATCCCCACTCGACGCTCTACTGCTGAGGCCTTCCAGATCGTGCTGTCCCACCTGCTGGGCGATGCCGGGAGCCCCTACCTCATTGGCCTGGTGAGCACTGCCCCTTGGCTGGGGTGGGCATGGGGACTGGGCATGGGGGGGCCCTGTACTCCAGCGCCAGCTGATGGCCCTGACCTGAGCCCAGCCAAGTGGGAAGGTCTGGCCCGGGTAGGCGTCAGTGCTGGGCGCGTCTCATTCCGAGCCTCAGCTGAGCAGGAAGAGGCTGGTGTTTGAAGATCCCTGGTGAAGCTGCGGACTGCACCCTGGTGGGCCAGGCCTCGATCCTTTCCTGGGTCCACTCTCCTCTCTTCCCGGTGTTCAAACTCCCTGGCTCCTGCCTGGGTCTCTCTGACTCTCCCCGGCCACCCGTTCTCTCCCCGCAGATTTCTGACCGCCTCCGCCGGAGCTGGCCCGCCTCCTTCTTGTCGGAGTTCCGGGCCCTGCAGTTCTCGCTGATGCTCTGTGCCTTTGTTGGCGCGCTGGGCGGGGCGGCCTTCCTGGGCACCGCCATCTTCATTGAGGGCCACCGCCGGCGGGCCCAGCTACACGTGCAGGGTCAGTTAGGGCCTACTCCCTGCCCAGCCTCGCGGTGCTGCCTGCCCGTCTGTCCTCTGTCCATCCTGTATACCTGGCGTCTCTGCGTCTCTCCCCTCCTTCGGCTTTGGCTCTGTCTGTCCGGCCCCATGACCGGCTGTGGCTGCCCATCCGTGCCCCCCACCTGTTTATCCCTTCTCTGGCTTTGTCTGTCCGTCCAGCCAGCTCTGGTCCAACCCCTTCCCCCTGCAGGTCTGCTGCATGAGGCGGGGCCTGCCGATGACCGTATCGTGGTGCCCCAGCGAGGCCGCTCCACCAGGGTGCCCGTGTCCAGCGTACTCATCTGACGGGGCCATCGCTGGCCTATCTGCACATCTGCCACAGCTGGCGCTGGGCCCACCTCACGAGGTGCCCGGCCTGAACCCTCGGCCTGGCCCAGTTTCCAAGGGGACCCTGGGCCCTGTTGCAGCTCCCAGACACTACATGGACAGTCCAGGGGAGGAGGTGGGGCTCGGGCAGCCCCAGGGGCTCGGTGCTATTTGTAACAGAATAAAGTTTATAGCCAGGTCCCAAGTGGCTGCTTGAGTCTTTCTCTGGGTTCTACGACCTCTGACCTCCAGGCTGCAGGGGATTCCCCCCTCTCCAGCCTCAGGACTCTCAGGACCTGTTTGGTCACTCTTGTGAGGTTTCGGGGGTGTCCCTGTCCCCCTGGGCTGGGTGGCCAAGAGGGAGGACTTTCCTCTGAGTGAGCTGGCTTTGTGTGACGGTGAGTCACGCCCATGCTTCCCCGGCACCCACCCCTCGGCACGCAGGCCTGGGTGAGGGGTAGGCTGCCCCCTGCACCTCAGGATTTGCCCTGGCTGCTGGCTGCCCCCCCGGCCCGGGGCAGAGGCTGTGGCTGCTGGCTGGCGTATCCCCCCACCGTGAGTAGCCCTCACCCTGGAGGGGACGCGACTGGGGAGCCCGGGTGAGTCCTGAGACCTCTCACTCCCCACTGGAGGGTGGGGGTGGGAAGGGGGCGGGTGCAGCCGGCTGAGGAGCCCGATGATTTCCTGCCTTCACCGGGCCTCACCACAGCCTCCTGCCACAGGCGGGCGGGCGCTGGGGAGAGGCGGGTGCGAGCCCGGGGGCAGGTACATTTGGGGCGCAGGGACCGTGTAGGGGTGCTGGTGCCCCAGACTTCAGCTCGGGCCCTGACCTTACCATCCTGGAGAGTCCGGTATTGTTCCTTGAAGAGCCAGCACTCACCCCCACACAGCCAGCAGGGAGAGGTCCAGGACCCGCCTGCCTGCCCCCCTTCAAGGAGGGCACAGCTGCCTCCCGCTAGGTCCCCAGCCAGGTCTGCTGGATCAGCCCTCGGCCTGCTGTGGCGCTGCCCGGGGCCTGCGGGTGCAGCCAGGCCTAGCCAGGGCTCTCCTGCAGATGGACGTGGCGGTCCTGCTCTCCTACCTGCTGGGCCTGCTGCTGCTGCCCCTCCTGGTTGTGCTGCTGATGGCGCTGTGTGCCCGCTGCCGCGACCTGCCAGGTGAGCCGGAGCTGGCCGGTGAAGGGGCCCCGCACCCGCCTCCCGTCCCACAGTCCGTCTTTAACTCTCCACTATTCCTGCTCCCTCGCCCCTCGGCACCCCTGCTCCTGCCTCATGGGCCCTCTTTCCCACAGGCTCATACGACAGTGCTTCCTCAGAAAGGTGAGTCTGCCCAGCACCCTGTGTCACCCTCATACCCCATGGGAGGCTGGGGCTGGGGCTGGGGCTGGGCTCGGTCCCCACACCCAAGCTGTGTCTCTCCTGCCAGTTCGTGTCCACGGAGCATGCAGATCAAACCATCCTGTGAGTCTGCAGAGGGCCCCCTGCCTTGAGTGGATGGGAGGGTCCCCTGTGTGTGCCTTTGTTCAGTGCCCCCTACCTGGGACTGCCCACACGGCCTCCACCTGAGCTGGGCCGGGAGAGGTGGGGGTCCCCAGACCGGTCCAGGACATGCGCTTCAGGGCTGAGCTGCCCTTTGAGGCCTGGATGAGGGTAGAGGGCACGGCATGTGGAATCATTCTTTGCTCTTGCTTCTGTGTCCTCAGACACTCTGGCCCCCTGGCCCCCCGCCCCCTACCCGCCTGTTACCTCCTGTCCACCCCTGATGCAGCCAGATCTGCTCTCCATCCCGTGAGTAGCTCCTCCGCCCCATCTCTTCTGAATTTCCCTTTACCTGTTACTTTCTTGGTTTAGGGGGGCCTCTTTCC